TACCACTCAACTTTTCAGGGTCTGAAAAGGCAAACTCTGCCTCCCTTCTTGTTATTATAGACAAACTGGCAATGCTCCTAGGTAAGGTAAAGCTTTTTCGTGTGCACTAGATCAGTACTACTCTAAATGTGGTAAGCTTCCTTCACCGTTCTCCCCACAAAAACAATGTCAGCTGAACTAAACTGCATTCCCACATAGTTGATTCACTTTCAGGTGCAAGCTCATCATGGACAGGTAACAGACGGTGCTTGGACTGGCACACATGGCAATCTTGCACACAGTCTCATCCCTGCTTGCCTACCCAGGGACACTGTTCCTTCAATTATCCCTGTTTTCTTGCACCAATATTTCTATCTTTTACTAATAGGGCCATTCCTATTAGTAAATCAATATGCTATAATATCCCATATTTTAAAAAGAATCTTAGTCCTCATATCTCCTTCCAGATGTAGCCCTATTTCTCTGCTCCTTTTTATAGCAAAACTCTTCTTAAGGGCTGCCTATAATTACTGTTTTCAGTTTCTCAACTTCTATCCACTCTTGAATTCAGGCTTTCCTCTCCACCACCCCACTGAAACAGCACTTGTCAGGGTCATGAATATCTACCACGTTGCCAAGTCACAGGGCCAATTGTTGATCCACATGACTGCCAGCCTCCCTGCAGCTCCAGATATTCCTTCCTTCTTGAAATACTTTCTTCACAGGATACCATACTCTGCTAGTTCTCATCTTACATCACAGGCTCCTCCTTCTGTCTTCTTTCCTGGATGCTTCTCCACTTCCTCACCTTTAAAATGTTGGCGTGCCCCAGGGCTCAGTCCTAAGTCCTTTTCTCTTTTCAGTCTGCACTTTCTTCCCGGGTGCTCTCATTCAGTTCTGTGGCTTCAAATCCTATCAATATGCTAATGACCCTAAGTGTTTCCAGACTTCTTCCCTGAGCTCCATACAAGCAAATCCAGCTTTCTCTTCTGCATCTCCACTTGGATATCTAATAGCATCTTGAACTTACATTCAACACAAGTGAACTAAGTTTACTTCTCTCACCTCCAATGCTACTCTTTTCTTCATAATTTCCAACTAAGTGAATGGCACCACGATTCATCCTTTGGCACAGGCCAAAAATCTAAGAGCTATCTTCAATTACTTTTTTTCTCTCCCACCCACATCCAGTTACCTGCAGGTTTTGTTATCTTTATCTTCAAAATCAGTCTTCTCACGATCTTCACTGCTATCCACCTGCCCAAGCATCAGCATCTCTTACCTGGATGGCTGCAATAAGCTCCTAACTGGTTCTCTCTGGTTTCTCTTTTGTCTCTTTACCCATCAGTATTTGGGCCCTGTCTTACTAGTTCCTCCCTTCCCCACATTTCAGCCACAGTAACAGTCATTCACTTCCTCGAGTGTGCTGTATTTATTCTGACCAGAGGGCCTTTTTATACACTGTTTCTCCTGACAGTAACATTCTTCCTTTGATGTCCTTGTACCTCTTGCTTTATCTTTCAGCTCAAGTTTTACTCTTTCATAAAAGACCCGTCCTACTCCAGTCCTGAACAAAGTTCCTTTTATAAACACCATTGTAGACCTGTGCTCTTTATCTTTATAGTTCTTACTTTATACGTCAGAAACTGGAAGATATTTGCCAAATAGATAGTCCAGTAAATGAATGCATGATCTCCCTAAATGATTTAACAAATCACTTGTTTGCTACATAGATCTCATGTGAAACTTATACATAAGTAAATGTATGATATGTTTGAGGCCAACATGCACACAAGATAAACAAAATAAAGACTTGAAATTTCAACTGAGGGGCCAGGGAGTTTTTTACTTTCTTTAGTAGGCATGTGTGTTAAAAGATTTATCTCCCTGAAAATATGTATATAAAGCTGTGACTTTATTTTTATATTTTATTTCACAATGTGTATGGGAAGGGGGTGGAGAGAAGCTCGTCTCAAAGTGTCCTATATTTTTGGTACTTACTTTTCATCTTCCTTATGTTTCTTCTTTCTTAGATTGAGCAGTTGTCCTCATTAGACACATCTACCAGGAACTTACAGTGGGCACGAGATAGCTTTGCAGCAAGCAAGAACGAGAAGGAACATCTCTTGCCCTTGCAGAATTTGGAGTGGACACACTTGCTGTGTTACACAATATCGGGCATGCAGGTGGAAATAAATAAAGAACCATACAAACCACCAGGTGTCTGGTCACAGATTTTGGCAGGACTTCACATAAAGCAGGAAAGCTACAAGATGTGGGACAACACAGCTTATGGATGAAAGTTAAAGGCATTTAATTTACTTGAAAACATAGGAAGAAAGGACCAACACATAAAAGAACATTCACTTTCAGGGATGAGCAATTCAGTTGCATTCAAGAGTAGGCCAGTGATGACTTCTCAGCTAGCTGCTATCAATCTGACATGTATTAAGTACCCAAGTGGGCTAATAAAAGTGGGAGTTTGGGTTAAAATGCCTCTGAGAGGCCTTGATCAAATATTTATATAATGAAGTTAATACTGTGGAAGAAGAGCTGGTCAACTTAAGCGACACAGATCTAATTCCTGCAACTTGTTTCTACGCATCTTAGCAAAGTGGGAACTTTTTCTTTCCAGTGCATGTTCTTTAACATATTTAAAATATCTTTAACATCTTTCAGAGATCTACTTTTCTAACAATATTACACAGGTTAATATTTTTTCACAGATACAGCACAAATAGTTGAGGGCTTTTTTTCTGGACTATATACTGCATTTATAAAGCAAGACGAATCTTGTATGTTTTCATAATATGAATGGGAAATGGCTAGGAACTACCAAATGAGGAGAGGAGAGGCAAAGAGAGGTGAGTAGGCGAGCATATAGCAGCCAGCCTGCTCCAACTGGGCAGATGTCTCACCAGACCCTGGAGTCCTGTCCATGAATTAGGTTGGACTCACAGCCGCCAGCCATTGCCAGTGGAGAGGCAGCGCCAGACTCCTACCAGCACTCACTTGGGTGGCAACGGAATGAAATCACTGCATTTAGCAAAGGCTGATGGCACTTTTCTTGGGTTTGCTATGGGAGTAACCTTCTGTTTAAATATATTACGCAGAGCTCAACTCCAACAAAACCATGTTCCCATTTGGTTAAACACTGTAGATGAAAATCCTGAACATTATGTGTTTACTCCAAACCAGACCCTGTACTTCTCAGTCTGTTATCCACTCTTGTGACCACAAAAGTCTTTATAAATGGAATAAAGATGGGACAGAGAGAGATGGTATTTAATATCAAAAAGCCACCTTGTTGTCATGGTTTTCAGCAAGCTCAAGCAGAGACTGTGTGTGTAAGAAACAAAATGTCAAAGTTACTTTCAGTTTGAATTTCTGCCACTGAAAAGTCCAATTCAATCCAAAATACCCCTGCACGTGAATAAATGTTGATGCTATGTGATGATGATGTCCACAGCCTGGACCCTTCCTATCTGGCTCCCTAGATCACTTCATAGCCCTCAGGTACCCAGAATGTTTACTCCTTGGTAATAAGGCCAGATACATGAGCAAAAGCTCCCACTTAAATCTGTAGCATGCAGATATCCAAATGAATAGATATTTGATTCTACTCACAGATATCAAAGTAAATATGCTAAGTTCTAAAGAGAGCTATTTCAGCAGTCTCAATTAGTCTTCAAAATGGAAAAGCTGCTGCTGTACTTATGTAAAATATGCCATATTATACTATTTGTTACTTCACAAAGTTTTTAACACATCATTTTAGCACCTCCGAGTCTATAAATGTATACTGCAGCAGAAGCTGTACTGAGCATAGCTAATCAAATTCAAATCCTATATTCCTGTGGCTCTCACCACCATCACACCTGGGCATCTGGGGAAGTCATGGGGTGACCTTGGCCTATGGATAGGTGCCTAGAGAATCCAACCTTCACTCTGAGTAGGAAGGAGGGTGTTGGTGTTTGGAGAAGAGGAGGAAGGAAAAGCAGGCAAGTGTGGGCTTGGAAAGTGAGAATGCTAATGAAAGAGGGTAAATAAGTTTGGAAGTGAAGATCAGGCCAGTCTCCTAAAGAACTTCTTCATTCTGTGTCCTGAGACTATGGGGACAGGAAGCAGAAAGAACGGATACCTCCCTGACACTGTACTCCTCAGAATGGCCCTCAACATTCTGACTGTCCTTAACATTCTTTCCTTCAAGTATTGCCCTCAGATCATTTTATTTTGTTGCTGGATATGCTTAATATAAGCTAATTTTATCAACTTCCAGAGATTCAAATATCACCTTTACCTCAATAGTTTCCCAAATGTCTGTTTCTAGTTCTGAACTTTCATCAGAGCACTATTTTCAGTTCTTTCCTGGCCACACCACTTGGATGAATCAAAGGAACTTCAGTCTTCATGTGTCCAACCTAAGGGCCATGTCTTATTCCCCATGCTCAGCACATGGTAGATGCTTGATGTATTTTGTTGAGTTAAAAAGAATTAAGAAAGGTCAGAAATGACTTAAATGTCTAGCAACTAGGAACTGGTTAAATAAACTATGGTATACCCATTCGATGAAATATTATTCAGGTATAAAAGAAAAAAGCATTAAAGAATGAGGGACGTTCTATCTATTAATTTGGAAAGACTGCCAGTATTTCTGAGTGTAAGAGCGACGTACAGAATAGTGAACATATTATGTTACCTGCTAGGCTCTTCTTAAAGGAACCCTGGAAGGATATGCAAGAGACAAGAGTGGTCACCATAGTCTGGGGATAGAAGGTAGATGGGAATGGAAGTTCTCAATGTGTCCTCTGCTATATTGTTTGATTTTTGAATGATGTTAATATATTATAAACAAATCATAATTCAAAAAAAACAGAAATAATTTTTTACAAAAGACAGAGAAGTTAATTCATAGGCAGAAAAAAAAATTTCAAACTTGAGATCAGATTAAAAAGATCATTTTATACTCCCCTCTTCCTCTATACCAGGAGCTGGAATTACCATCAACATAAATGTCTTACTTGTTAGCAACCAAGCGCATAACAGTCCAGTCCTTTGGAAACATCTCTGGGCGTATCAATATTCGGAACACAGTAAATATCTGCAGCAGGAAATCCTTGGATGAGGAGAAACAGATCATTTTACTGATTTATTGTAACTGTCAAAAAACGCACACACACACACACACACACACACTCAGAGTACTATCATAACCATTTCCAAAGCAATCATAGAGAAGGAACCACACTTTAATAAATTATTTACACAAGGGAAGGGATCATTACGCTTCCCATTCCTAGCACCCAAACCCACTGGCTTGCTACCCTTCCCAAATGTTTTCTCTTCTCTTTGTTTGTCAGGTACAGTGGAAATGACTTTTCATTTCTCTTCTCAAATTGTAACAATTTAGATTCTGAAAATAAAAATGGAAAACTTGGAACAGGAGATTAGCAGGCAAATATATTCCCTTTCTTCAATTACAGTATCGTAAACAGCAGAACTTTTTAACTCAAGGGAACAACGAACAGCCCTGGTTCAGTTCTACTTTCCTTTAAGTAGGTGTCAACGTTACAATGTTATGTTCATAAAAAAGCATCTTTTATAAAAACCTGTGTTTCTTAGAGGGGGTTCTTGAGATATGGTATTAATGGGATGTGTGCAGGGGTATAGAATCTGAGTGAATTTTCCTGAGTGTGTGATGCAGAATCAACTCAAATGAAGATGTGTGCTAACTCGAGCCCAGCGTCGAGTGCTGAGTAGCTATGAGAGTGGCGAGATACCCCTCACAGGGATGCCGTGCCACAGGGCAGCAGAGTAGTATTTAGTGCGATGTTATCTTTAAACTGACCACCTGAAAACACTCTTGACCAGAAGTTATCCTCAGAGATGGAAATATCTCTTCTTTAAACATTACAAGAGACAGGACCAAAAAGCTAGAATGCATGATCTTTAAAGGGGAGTTAAGGAGATAACGTACTACGTGTATTGAACAAAATAGAGCTTTCCCAACTCAAAAAGGGATTTTCTCAGTCTGGCTTTGATTTAGATTTATTAACTAGAAAACTTAAAAATAAAATGCAATCCAAAACACAAGGGTTTTATTTATCAGACCCGACAACACATTATGTTAAATATGTAAGCCGCTTGAATATAAGATTATGGTTGTCATTCAGATCAACTGAAGATAGATAGAATCTAAAAACTGAGAACCATGTGGCAGCTTCATTGTTTTTTTTTATATATTCTAACAGCTTGAATCAAGCCGATAAATATTTTGACAAGTATTTATTTTAGCATCTTTGGCATCAACACACATACGTTGACATGTAGTATATACACCATGTGGAAACATGCCCACCAGGTCGTCTGTCTCCCCATGGCTAGACAGATTGTGCCCATGTCTCCAGAATCACCAGAAGCAGTTTCCCAAATGTATTCTACTGTAGGTCAGAAAATTTTGGGAAACACTTCACCTTCTAGCTCTCTGCTGGGATAGAAGGTCATTAGCATACTAACACTGTCAGAGGCCCTTTTTAATGCATTTATAAAACTTATTTTAATGAATCAATTTTTCATTGATTCTTTTGGGTTTCTCAGACATGAATACATATAATCCCTGCAAAAAAAATGATTTTTGCATTTATCTTTCAAAGAGTTGTACCCCACTTCAGTTTCCTACCTTGTTGCATTTACTCAGATAGATATCAAAGAACAATCATGAAAGTGGAGATTCATTTGTTTTTCATAGTCTACAATTAGTTAGGAATACTTTAAATAAATTCTAAAATACTGAAGTTCCATTTTCTCGCCCCAAAATTTGTGACAATTGGAAATTGGAGGCAACACCCTGACTGGGGGTGTGTATGTCTATGTGTGTGGTGGGGGTTTTGGGGAGGGGCACTGTGATGTCAGTTGCATGGAGAAAAAATTGTCCGAAAGATTTAGCCACAGGAGGCAAGACATCTGTCTCAAGGGCTAGCAACTTCAGTTGTTCTTTCGTAGTGTTGAGGACAAGGGAAAGATTACTCCAAGTGTAGGAGTTGGGGATAGATAAGCTGTTTCTGTGCTGTCTCATTTTTCTATTCCCCTTTACTTCACAAAATAAAAGGCTGTGGCAGCATGTGACAATGCTATATATTGACATAAAACTTTATTTCCCTCAAGAAAACTTTTCAGTGTCTTGAGTAGCTTTCTACAGTGTCCATTCAAGTTTCATTTGTGGAAACCTTATAAGAAAAATAAAAGAACAATATACTGAGAATCAGAACACCTAAATTTTAATTCTGGCTCTGCAATTAACTAGCTCAATGACCTTGACAATTTACTTAACCTCTCTGGAATGGAGCTCTTATACTTGGAAAATGTGGGGGCTTTAAGGTCTCTTGCAGTTAGAGGAGTTTAAAAAAGTTAATATGATCATTTACCTATTCAAAAATAATCCCCCAATTTTTCTTATTTCTAAGCTGTAGGTTAATGTTTCATCACATCACATTGTGAAAACACAGATATTTTCCACTTTGGTACTTACATGTAATTTAGTTTAACAAGTATTTGTCAACTGCCATGCAACAGGGTTTATTTCAAACTCAGTTCTAATAGTTTAAAGCATCAAGACCTGAGTGCTAGATTCTTTAACATCCCCTTCCTTCCTACCCCAAATACAGTGGTATTTTCTTGTCTGTCCTAAGTACTTTTCAGCTCTGGTCATTTCACTAAATATGTGCTTTTGCATAGATAGATACAATTATTTTGCACATTTAAATAAGTAACAGATTCCTTTTATAATTTAAAAAAGAACACTGTCATGCCTATAATATTCGTGTTCGGATAGCACATAGAAAAAAGTGTTTCACATGCTACCATTTTAAACTTGGCAACCTGGGAGCCATTTCTTCTTCTGTTTGTTTACTTCATGTAGCCCAGCATAGTAACTTAACTGTATTCTTCAAATCAGGGTTCAAAACAAAAAAGAAACAGGGAAGTGCTACTTTATAGAAGTACTTTTCCTGCAGTGCAAAAGGTTCAAGTAAGAAAGTTCTTGTGAAAATCTTCCAAAACAATAAAAAGTCCTATTTTCAAATAAAAAGCAAAGCAGGAACAGTGGTTATGATTTTAGAAATTATCGCTAACATTTATTCATTTATAAATATTCAGTACTTTACTATGTGCCAGGCACTGTGGGTGACATTAGATGATGGGGACACCCGGCTGACCAGGTAAGATATATTCTTTTATTTATTCATGCAACGAGTACGTATGGAGTGTCTGTGACATGCTACACAATACTGAAGAAGCTGAATGTGTTCTGTACTTTCATGGAGCTCACAGTTTGGTAGGGGACATGAATGTTAATCTCATAACTACACAGACGCATGCATGCTTTATAAACTAGGAGATGTCTGAGGGCCAGGTATTCCACACAGAGGGGACAACACCTGCAGGCCACAGAGGCAAGAGAGAGCACAGGGTTGCCTGGACTGCACGGGATGGTGGCAAGAAATGGTGCTGAAAGATAAATGGAGATAAATAAAAGATAAATAAATACGGATAGATAAAAGGTAAACATCGTAACTTTTCCATAGGTAGGAGTTTGGACATTTATCCTGAGTTCAATGTGGAGACACTGAGGGGTTTTATGCAGATGTTTGAAAGGATCAAATCTGTGTTTTAGAAAGATTTCCTAGCTGTACCATATATAAAAGTGTTCTGTGTTTATCCATGATACTATGATATTAAGAATGGCACAAACAGAAATTAGGTTTATGAAACAGAATTGGTGAGACACAGAAAGAGGAACTCTTAGACCATGAAACATGAGTTAAGACATCTACAAAATAAAGCATCATGAAGCAGGTAGACAGACCAGGACATTGTCTCCTTATGTCAAGAACAATGAATAGGACAGAGCCTTCCAGAAACACATTTCATTTACTTATGATTTAGGCGATAGATGTTATTTTTAAAATTTGCCACAAATTTCAAAAGTGTAATACCCTTGATATGGGGTTTGAATTCAATTAAAGGGTGTTAATAACATTATCACATTGAAATTTATATCCTTAAAACAGAATCTTTAAGTGTATTATACAAAATAACTCCCAAGAGATCTTCAGTCTTTTAGAGCTATAGAACTATTTCTCTGTTGTAATTAATATATGCAAATAAAGATGATAATTCACAATAATTGTATGGAAAAAGATGGCTTATTGAAGCAGACAAAAATATTAAGAACATTCATGGATTCAACAAAGGTTTAATGTTCCAGGCTCTGTGTTTGGACACAAAGACATGGTCCCTACTCTCAAGGAGCTCATAGTCTTTAAAAACACAAGGAAATAGCAAATAATTACAGTGCATTATTGCACACTATCAGAGAGGGGGGACTGTAAACTGCAACCTGTGGAGGCTTCATCAAGAAAGTGACACCTGCACTGGATTTTGTAGCATGAGCTGGATGAAATCAGAGAAGGAGTTAATAGAGTACACATTAGGCAATGGAAATGAGGCTGTAGTGGAATAGGCATTTCAGATACAGAAAAAGATGATTCAGAGGAATTAAAAATTATGTATAGGCTTTGTTAGGAACATACAAGTAGTTTCAAGTGGCTGGAGTGAAAGGTGTTTAGAAGAGGGTAGAGGATAATGAGGCTGGAAGGTAGACTGAGGACAGGCACATGACAGATTGGACTTTGTCTGTAGATAATGGGACATGCTCAGAGTTTTAAAGTTGGATTGAGGCTTGATCGAATAGGATTTTTGAAACTTAGTGGGCCAGTATATGGGAGACAATGAAGAGTTATAATAGTGCTATACTTAACTTCCAGAACATGGATAATCTTATGCTTATAGCAAGATTTCCACAGTTTTACGAAAAGTCATAATCAACGAAGAACAGCAGGCAGTCTCATGGCTTTATATACATGAAATAGCAAGGACGTCGACAAAACTTTAGCCCCCAGTATAAAGTGGGTGTATAATAAAACATTACTGACCACAGGAGGCCAAAAAAAAAAAAAAAGCAATCACTACCTAGTATTTGCTTTTGTTCATTTTAAAATAATTACATGTTCTAGAGAAGAAAAGATTAAACAATGCAGAGTGCCAGCCCTCAGGTCTCTGCTCCCACACACTTGTGTTCTGACACCGTGACTCACGCCATTTACACGTGAGGACCAAGGAAAAGAAACGGCACACTGTTCAAAAAGCCAGAAGCCATTGAACGTAACCCTAGAGGTATCCATGCTCTTCAAGCATGATGGAGTTAAAACACCATTAGTCATGGTAGATACTTGAGAACTACATACTTTCAAAATTCATTTTGATTTAGAGAAACACTGGGAAATGCTAAAGTCTTTCTTTAAACTGATAAAAAGAAAGGACAAAGCACTGGTGCTAGAAATAAATAACAACAACAATATTAATTTAAAAATCTCAATGTCAGTTTGTCAATATCAATTAAAATTTAAAATGTGTACATCCTCTGACCTAACAACCTAACAATGCTACTTCCAGGAATTTATTCTACAGCAATAAGGGCACAAGTCCACAGAGATACAACCTCACGATGCTTACGGCGGATCCTTTCTAATGTCCAAAAATCAGAAACATCCTGAATGCCCATCAGAAGGGGAATGATTAAATTAAATTATGTAGCATCCATATAATGAGATTCAGAAGAATGAGGTTTGGGTTCTATAATATCCAAGAGATTATCATGTGGAAAAAAGTACAGATCAATATGAACAGTATGGTTCCACTTAAAAAATATGTGTATGTATGTATAGCATAGAAAATAGTCTACGAGGACATACCTCTAGATGTTAAGAGTAGTTACCTCTGGTAGTTAGGATATGTTGGCAGAGGGGAAACATATACTTTGATTTATCACTTTTTAAAACAGTAGGGTTACATGGTGTTTTTACTGTCTAATCCCAATATCAGTTATAATTTTCCATTAAATATCACTCTGTTAAGTTGTATTTTGCCTTTTATTTAATGTCTAACTCAAATGTAGATACAAAACCCCCAAATAACTCTTCCTCTAATAATCTGGCCTTTCTTAAACATCTCTGTTCTATGACTAGAACTACCTTATTATATGGAAAGAAGTGACAAATGAAATTTTATACAATTTGATAACAAAGATTTTGGTTTAGGAAACTTTACTAAAGTTTAGGGGAAAAGCTGAGTTTGGCTGCCTGAGCAAAGAGCTCAGGACGTTAACAGAATTCCCAGCTCTCCCAATTGCTTGGGAATCCTAACAGTATCAATCAATCTTCACGGGGGGTGGGGGGGAGAAGATGCACTGTGATACAGGAGGAGGGTTTTGCACTACATCTAGCTCATGATTGAGGGGTGAGGGGGTCTTTCTTACCTCAAACACGATCATGTCTCTCCCTTCTTAAAGCCCCCCAAAGCTTCAAAATATCCTCAAAATCAAATCCATAGCCATTCACAGGGCTTTAGGTCTTACAACATTCTTCCTCAAACTCTATTTTCTATCTCTCAACCAACAACTATTTCTTGAATGCCTACAATGTGCTAGGCATGTTCTGGGATCTGAGGATACAGCAATGTACCAGTCAAAGCTTTAGACATCAAGCAGCTTATAACCTAGTAGCTGTGGGTTGGGGAATACACATAAACCAATAAAAAAAAATATTCCAGATTCTAAGAAGTATTATAAAGGTAGGGTAGGGGGTGTGCTATGTCAGTTAGTGCATTCAGGTGACATTTTAGTTGAGAGATCTGAAAGTCCGAGCCAAAGATACGTCTAGCACACTCCTACTAATCTTTCAGTTCTCAGGTCTTCCCAAGATCTCCCTTGGGAAGTTTTCTTGTGACCTTGAGTCTGGGCTGGCAGCAACTTCCAGATGCTCCATAGCATCGTGTGCCTACTTTGTATAGCCACTACTCAGGGGGTCAAGCCCACGACTATCTGACTCCTCCCTATAGGAATAGGACATCCCATGCCTAGATGACATCCCCAGTGCCTGGCCTGCTGCTTGCCATGTTTGAGTTGCTCAATCTGTATTTCTTGAATAACAGATTAAGTAATTAACATCACTAAATCATTCTCTTGGTCTGAAGGCCTAGCTAACTTTGAAGAGGGAAATATAATTGTCCTTTGAAAAGGTGTGTTGGCTAACTGGAATAAGGAAAGTCCACATAACACACTCTATTCGTTATTTCCATTTGCTTTATTATTGTTAATGTGAATATTAAAGCATAAAACTCAACACTGAGATTAAATTGGTTATGTCTTTCAATTTATGTTTCTTGGCTATTTTTCAATTCCCAGGCTCTATGAAAATACGTAGGCTTTTCCTATGGGAAATTCTCAATATGAAGTCATAGATTTCTTAAGTAAAACTGTGCTAAAATACAATTTCTGATTAAAGTTAATAACTGAACAATTATCTTCCTTTTGACATTTTGGATTTCTGCACTCGGAGTGGGTAAGTCCTAAGGCCTTTTATCCATTTTTAATTCTAAACTCAAGATTGAACGTAAGAATGAAAAACATGATATCATATGCCAATTGATTAATTGCTAGATAGACGACATCTGCCCCTAAACAATTCTTTGTGTCATATGTCTCAGATTGTCAACTGCACCAAGGTAACAGAAAGATTCTTCTGAGATCATACAATATTTCCGGGCAGTTAAAGTCAAAGATAAGTTGACCCCTATGCACTATCCATATTAAAAAATCTACAATTCTTCCTCTAAGGCACTGTGAAGGCTTCCAAGCAAGCAAACATTGCAGTGAAACTGTACCTATTGTTCTTTTAAGACAATTCTCCATCACCCAGCATTTAAGCAACCCTCCCAATCTGATGGTTTATATATGAAAGTTGTCTGGAAAAATGGAGATGAAAGAGAAATAAGAACAGATGACAGATCATTCCTCCAACTGAGAACAATCACGTCTATGCTGTATGACACTATGAAGGAAGCATTATAGTTCCCCAAATCTCAGCAAATATTGGACTTTCAGAAACCTTTTAGCACCAGTATGTTCTGTTTAATGTCAGCCTATCAGACTAGCATAGCGTATTGATTAGACTATGGATGATAGAGAATATCAAATACAACTCTGCTTTCCTAGTCATAAAGTTGTAGCCAGAACTTCTCACTGTGGTTTTAAAGAGATGAAACTAGCTAATATATTTACATATTCTCCCTTATCTTTTATGTAGGCAATATTTCTAGACTTACTTAACTAGAGTGAGTCTGTTTTTGTCTCCTTAGTTCTGTTATTCTGTTTCTAGTTTATTTAACTTTGATGACAGGTGTTACAAATCCTATGTCCTTATCCAAAATGAGAGCTAAAAGCTTTGCTTGAGTAATAGAAACCCTAAAGAGCCAATATAGATGAGCAAATCTGTGGATGAAGCTGAGAAAAAAAGTTTAGAACTGAATGGAAACAGGTAAAGCACTTGTCCAGGAACTGTCTGAACAGTGATGAATAAGAACGAGAGAAATTAAAAAGACATATTAGAGGAAATTATTTAAAAAGTCACTTACCCTTAGATCTTCCTTCGTATTGAAACTATCAAGCAGCTGTTGATAATGTCTATCTGTCATTTGTCGTAATAGGGACAGGAGACAAGCAACAAACTCCCCCTAATTTAAAAAAAAGGTATATTTTTAGTAAGGACATAAAAGAACATCAGTAACTTGCTCTGAACTATCCTCAAAGAGAATATTTTAAAAGAAAATCACTATGATACAAACTCACCCTATGAAGTCTTCTTAATCTAAATTACCGAAAATATACCAGCTAAAATTTCTCCTTTTGATGATTACGATTTACTACCATTTACATATGCATTTTTAATTTTAGAGAGGATTTTTTTTTTCTACTTGGGTGGAAGCTTTTCACTTGGGAACTAATTCCACACACTCAAAGGAGATAAGGCGATGAGGCTCCCTGATCATTTACGAAGCACTTAAAGTACCTGCAGTCATTATACCAATTAAATCAACACCATGAGGTAGGGGATGGATATAATACTTATTTAAAGAAGGTAAAATGTAGATTCAGATGGGCTAAAAGACTTGCCCAAAGTCAGACAGCTAGAAAGGGCTGCAGTTATCCCCATATCCTTCTGACCCCAAAGTCCTTCCTGTAGCTTTGTGCTCCAGTTTCGAATTCCTGTGACCTCCAACTCATCGGAGTCCTGATCTGTGGACTCACAGGGTGTGGAGAAAGCCATGTATTGCATAATGTTGGTTTTAATCTTTTTTAAAAAATAGTTTTAAATTAATGGCCATTTTTCCATGTTTGGGATCTACGTGATTTACCCCTACAAATTCCAAGTCTTAAAAATTAACAATAAAAAAGAAAAGCATAATATAGCATCCATAGATTTGAAGACCTATGTAAAATTGCTATCACTTGCATTTTCCAATGCACTTATAATTTAAAATACCTGTCTTTTTAGTGCAAACTTTTTTGCTCAGTAAAGAATTTATCTACTTCTAAATAGAGTAATAACATTTAAAACAAAACAAACACAACAGGAGAGGTAGTCAGTAGTAACCGACTGTCTATTTACAGAAGTGCAGTTTAATTGGGAATTGGTTTCTTAGACTTTACATGGAAAGAGACAACAGGCTCTAAAATTAGAGACCAAAAGCCCTGAGAAGTGGGATTTTCCAACAGAGGCAGCTGGGTCAGGACAGTCAGACATGTCCTCAACTAGCTGCCATGGGAGGCCTGAGCATGCTACTTAATGGTAGCATGGTCATACTTAATGGTCATGTCAGGGTAACCAGAGATTCACGCTGGCTCTTTGCATGCGGATAATCATTTGCAACACACAGGTATGACAAATAATTGTCCCTGTACATTTATTAGGGCAAATATTCAAGAAACTAACCAGTATGGGCCAGTAGAAACAGCTTCCAAACTCAATATATTACTTTGTTAATGAACAAGGGTACCCTTGATACTTAACACAAGAAAATAAAACATTTAAAGGCAAAATTATTAATATTTTAGTGTGCATGTGTGGAAGGAAATAACCCAAGGCTAGGAAAAAAATTATACATTTTAAACAAGTGTAATTTCAAACAAGTGTAATTTCAATTAAAACTCAATAAAATTAAAAAAAATAAGACATTATGACAACACTATGATTTATGGAATGGTACTATGTGTAAGTTTCCATACTTGATTATGTTATTGAGTTCGTTAATTATTGGAGCCTTGTTGGGTGGACAGTATCAACTTCACTTTAAAGAAAAGATAATTATCTGTTAAGAAATCTGTTCAGAAATTTATCCCAGGTTCCACAGCTAGAGAATGGTAAATTCGGGACGTGAACTCTGGTATCTCTAGCTCTAGAAGTCTGTATTCAGTGGATCTTCTTCCTCCTGCTCAGAATGGTTTGATTTTATAGAGTAAATATACCTGAGATTTTGGGTCATAATTCAAATATAAATAAGTATATTAGAATCTGTCAGTTGATAACAAATGTCTATACTTTTATTTGAGACAGAGTCTCGCTCTGTTACCCTGGCTACAGTGCTATGGCGGCATGATACCTCACTGCAACCTCAAACTCCTGGCCTCAAGCAATCCTCGTGTCTCAGCTTCCCCAGTAGCTGAGACTACAGGTACACACCACCAAGCCTGGCTAATTTTTGTATTTTTTGTAAAGACGGG